TTAATTGATTCTGGCTCTGAGTGTTCCTTCATAACGGAGAGGCTCAGACGCAGAATCAATTTGCCAACTAAGAAGATGTTGGCACAAGTTTCGGGTATCAACAAGACGGTTTCAGCTCAAGTGAAAGAAGCGTGTTCAATCCAACTGCGGTCACCCGTTGACCCACTTATCTCGATTGATGCCCTAGTCCTTGTTCTTCCAAATCTTACAGGAAATCTGCCGACGTGTGATGTCAGCGCACTCACACAACAAGCGTTTCCTGATCTGATCTTGGCAGACAAAAGATTTTTTGTGAATGAACAAGTCGATCTTGTTCTTGGAGGAGACATATATCCCCAAATCATTCTAGGTGGAATAAAAAAGAATATTTTGAATACTCTTTTAGCACAAGAAACAGTTTTCGGTTGGATACTGACTGGTCGTGCTGATGCAGCCAGCCCAACCAACACCAATCGTGTTTCTTTTTATAACGAGGTTGCCCTTGATAAGCAGCTAAGCGCCTTCTGGGAGATAGAAGATTTTCCAAAAAACAAGACACTAACTTTAGAGGACACACAGTGCGAGGAGCTGTACAAGCGGACAACAAACCGGAGCCAAGATGGAAGGTACATTGTTTCACTCCCTTTCAAAGCTGAGTACCCAGCTGAAATTCAACTGGGCCCTTCACTGAAACGAGCATGCTCTCAATTTTACAAAAATGAGACAAGACTTACGAAAAACCCAAATCTACAAAAGGAATATAACCGAGTTTTAGTGGAGTACGAAACCATGGGACACATGTGTAAAGTCAACGCTCCTCAGTCGGCGGATGCGGTGGATAACTATTATTTACCGCACCATGCGGTGGTGAAAGAAGAGAGCACATCAACAAAAGTTAGAGTAGTTTTTAATGCGTCGTCTTGTTCGGCTAATGGAGTTAGTTTGAACGATGTACTTCTCCCTGGGCCAGTGCTTCAATCTGATCTACCGATTTTGATTCTCCGCTGGAGACTTTTCAAGTACGTCTTCAATAGCGATATTGAGAAGATGTACAGGCAAATCCTTGTAGATGAAACCCAAACAAAGTATCAGAGAATAGTTTTTCGCAAAAGTTCAAATGATGCAATAGGTCTTTATGAATTAAGGACGGTTACTTTCGGTATAAACTGTGCTCCTTATCTTGCGATAAGGACATTGCTTCAACTCGCGGAAGACTCTGAAAATCTCTACCCTACAGCCTCAAATATTTTACGGAAAAATATGTATGTCGACGACGTTCTAGCTGGAGGACATACCTTAGACTCTGCGATCAAAGCTAGGGATGAGATTTCAGCAGTCCTTAAGTCAGCCGGTTTTCCTCTGAGAAAATGGACTTCAAATAGTAACAAAATCTTGCAAGGTATACCAAAACAAGATCTACTGAATGAGGATTTCCTAGAGTTTGAAGATACTAGTAGCGTCAAAGCACTGGGCATAAGGTGGAATGCTCATTCCGACCAATTCTGCTTTATAGCAAAATCGATAGAAGTTAACGTGAACCCAACAAAGAGAGCAATCTTGTCAGCTATTGCGAAACTCTTCGACCCTTTAGGTTGGTTAGCCCCCATAATAATTGTAGCGAAAATCTTAATGCAAAATATATGGTTAGAGGGTACCGACTGGGACGAGGAAGTTTCTTCTATAACTTTGGAAAGCTGGCGAAATTTTACAAAAAATTACGGCGAAATCGATAACATAAGGATACCTCGTTGGGTATCTTTCTCGCCAAAGAGAAAGGTGGAAATTCATGGATTCTGCGATGCGTCCGAGAAAGCATACGCTGCCGCGGTTTATCTACGTGTGGAGACAGAAGAGAAAGTACTTGTTAATCTGCTATTAGCGAAAACCAAAGTAGCTCCAGTCAAAACCATTTCACTACCTAGATTGGAACTTTGCGGGGCAGTTTTACTAGCAGAAATAGTCGAATCGGTGACCAAGAATCTAGAACTAGGCCACCTTAAGATAAACCTTTGGACTGATTCGACAATTGTGCTAGCATGGATTCGAAAGCCCCCTTGTTCGTGGTCAACTTTTGTTGCCCATCGAATTACAAAAATATTAGATAAGGTAGGAAACTCCAACTGGTGGCACGTCGACTCAGCTACAAATCCAGCAGACTTGGCAAGTAGAGGTGTAATAGCGCAAGACTTGGTCAAAAATTCGTTGTGGTGGAAGGGACCTTCTTGGCTTCAAGAAAATAGAGAAAATTGGCCAAGGCAAGAAACAGACTTCACTACCGATATTGAGGGAAAACGGGTGCACGCTCTTAAAACAACAACGACCAATAGTACCAGTGATATTCTCGAACGTTTTTCAAGTTTGTCAAAAGCTTTGAGGGTGATATCTTATATAATAAGATTCTTTCAAAGAACCCATCCTAATACAAAAACTTCTTTTCAGGCGAATTCTTCTTTAATTTCGTCCGACGAAATTAAAATAACGACTACACGTCTGATAAAACTCGCTCAGAAGCAATATTATGGATGTGAAATCGCCAAACTAAAAGCTAGAGAATCCATCGAACCCAAAAGTGAAATACTTCCTCTGAATCCGCTGCTGGACAAGGATGATGTGCTGAGAACGGGTGGTCGTCTTGGTGCATCTCTTGATCTGGCATATAATGAGCGTCACCCCGTAATACTTCCATATAATTGCAGATTATCACGTCTTATTGTACAATTCATCCACGAAGTCTCTTTACACGGGGAAAACCAGTTAATGTTGCGCCTTGTACGAACGCAATACTGGATTCCACGAATAAAAACAATGATCCGGTCCACAATCCATAACTGCAAGATCTGTACTATCCATAAAAAGCGCTCGCAAAGCCAACTTATGGGGATTCTTCCCCAAGAACGAACAACATTCTCGCGAGCATTTACCAATACTGGAGTGGATTTTGCTGGACCCTTTGACATAAAGAGTTATCGTGGGCGAGGCTGCCGAATTTCAAAGGGTTATGTATGTCTTTTTGTCTGTTTCTCTACCAAGGCTATTCACTTAGAGGCCACAAGTGACTTGAGTACTCAATCTTTTCTAGGAGCGTTTTCTAGGTTCATAGCCAGACGAGGGTGCCCAAAAAATATCTATTCTGACAACGGGACAAACTTCGTCGGAGCATCACGGGCGCTAAAAGTGGAACTTAAGGCTTTTCTATCCGACGCGCGGACACAGACGTTATCAAAATATGCCCATCAGGCATTAACTTGGCATTTCATACCTGCAGCAGCTCCGCACATGGGTGGTCTGTGGGAGGCAGGTGTAAAAAGTTTTAAAAGCCACTTTAAGAAGATAGCGTCAAATATGAAGTACACTTTCGAGGAGTTCAGCACACTTCTCTGTCGAATTGAGTCGTGCCTCAACTCTCGACCTCTAAGTCCAGCTTGAAATGAGCCATCTGACCTTGAGCCTTTAACTCCAGGTCATTTTCATTCAAAGAGCCGTTTGCTTTCAAGTACTNTTGAATTTCACAATATTTTTTCCACACATTTGATATTTCACTAGCTTCAAGTACTCGAAGGCGAATTTTTTTGTGCTCATAAATACATATTCGTAAACTTTATTCTAAATTATAAGCTTTTCTTTACTATCATGAAATAACTACTTTATTTGTACACATCGGTATAAGAACGCGATGCGGTAGCGGCGTTGCAACGACATAACAATGCCCGTCACTGGTCTATACATCGGTATTGTAATTTGCAGAAATCGACGCTATGTATACTGGACTGGGCAAAGCAAATTGAATGTTGATCGCGAACCGTATGCAGTGAGCATTAACCGTGCCTTGCGGCCGACTCCACCGCCATCGGCCCACATAAGTATGAGGCGCAACCTCTGCCGTAGCACCTCAGCCCTTACGTGAGCAAAGAAGCAGTGGGGGAAAATCTGTCTACGACAACCATGAAAATCCATATTTTGAGACACTGCAGCCACAATAACTTTCAACGCATCACATCTTGCAATTCTAAACTGCCTTTTTTTCGTTCAATATATGAATTATAAATTTTGCTTTCAGTGTTTTTTATAAATTTTTCATTCGTTATTAGTTTAATATGGTTGTATAAATTGTTCAATATGTTTTTTAAGTTTTGTTTAGATTTTGGTATATAGGTTGTGCTTTCGTATTTGTTTTGCGCGCCACTGTTTTGCAGTTCTCTATTCCTGAAAAGAAAAGAAAATTCAAGAATTAATGGAAATTCAGTGAAAAAAAAAAAAACCACTCAGACAATATACTTACGCAAGCAATTTACTCGAAACGTGGTTTATGAATGACAGTCGGCCATTCACGGAAATAGTTTGTTATCGACAACAAAATAAACGAATTCGATACCTTTCAGAGTTACCTCGACCTTTATTATACCCCGGTTACACGTTCAATTTTCCTAAGGCTGGTGGCACACCTATTTGCGCAGATTGAAAGCGTATAAAGGACTTTGCATTTATTTTCATAAAGATAGAGTGGGAGAATAAATAATACGTAATGATTTTCATATAATTATTCATATATCTTTCATTTTCGCGAGTCATACTTAATGCAAGGCGACATTTCCATATGAGCAACAAAAAGTCAAATTATGATGGTTGGTTAATTTTAGATGCTATTTCCGAAACCACAGGGCACTATAAAGAAGATGTGACCTACTATCTCAATCTTCCTCCATAATTTTCGTACAACCTCCATAGGAGGTAAACAGCTCACATGCCGAAGGCAACCCTGTTACACCTACCCACCAACCATTAAGCCATGATTGCACGTTCGTACCTATCAATCATAAAGGGGACTTAACACGGTTAAAAGGTTTACGATGACTAAAAATTTAGGTTTTATATTGCTCGCCATTCCAACGTTATTTTTATTCGCTTCGATCCCTAATGAAGTGGGAAACCATAATTTCAGGAGATGACTCGCTACACTACCATGCGTAAACAGGCTGAGGCAAGGAAATATGCGCTAACATGCAGGCTCTCTGGTAGCAAGCATCCGATTCGACTGTGCCCAGTGTTTCGGTCCAAATCGCCGGAGGATCGCCTTCGTGAAGTGTTAGTGCATCGGTACTGTACTAATTGCTTGTCCGGGATGCATCGTGCCGCTCATTGCACTCATCCGGGAACTTGTCGACGCTGTAAAGAGCAACACCATACAATGCTCCACATCGATCTACCAGGCGATGAACAACCGCGGCAGCGACGACCAACAAGGGCCAGTCGCAATGACGCAGACGACAGCGATGCGATTTCGTTAGTCGCGTCCGAGACTGGAGCGGAAACAATTGCTTTCCGCCCGGACTTGGAGGAAGGGGAATTGCTAAGCGCTGGAGCGGAAACCAGTGCTTTCCGCCCAGACGAAGCGCCCGGAATGGAGTCAAATGCACTCCATCCGGATTCTGCGAGCGAGCTAGAGTTGGAACCCCAACATTTCGGACAGCTCTTACGATACCAGCCAAGAGAGAGCGGATTGGAAATTAGAACTTTCCAACCGCGATACTATACCTCATACCCCCAACCTCGACGACGAAGTAACCACCCACGGCATAAGCGTCGCAACGGGAGAGTGGAATCACACGCATTCCACCTCCCTAAAAGAACCGGATTTCGGTCTGGTCAAGATCACGCCCCAATGAATCCGATACAACAACTTACCGCTTTTGCGCCAACAGCCATAGTGAGGGTAGAAGCAGGAGGACGCTTGCACCTGGTAAGAGCTTTGATTGATCCGTGTGCCGCAACATCCATTATCGCAGACGACCTCGCGCGAGAGCTGAAGCTCAGTTTAACGGCAGTCGGCAATCAACGAGGGTGTTTCATAAAACTACGCGGAAAACACGGAAATTCCACGACCATAACAATGCACGCGGTGGCCGTATGGAACTATCGGCAACAAACGCCTTTAAAAAGTCTCGATGCCACGGTCGTAGCACCATACAACAATATAAAGCTCGCTGATCCTCAGTTCCACATCGCAGCTCCCGTCCGCTTCGTGCTAGGTGCCGAAGTTTTCACTAAGATGTTCTTAGGCGCCATTCCAGCGGGAACTCTCGGTGCGCTACTAGCGCAAAACACCATTTTCGGATGGGTACTGTCAGGCGCATGCTAAACACATTTTTGTATGACTTTATTTTGTTTTTTTTTTCCATGATGAATCAATAACTGAAAATTTTTCGTATATATATTTTGTTATATTTCATGAGTCAACTTTTTTTTCAAAATGAATTATTATATTATTAACAGTGCAGTTGAATTTGAAACCCACGTCTTTTATTTTTAAACTTTCTTTCCTTATAGAATTTAGGTCCATAGATGAAGAACTGAATTGGAGAATCTAGATTTAACGTATTTTTATCGTGTAACGTGGTATAGAGGTTGGATCACATGGTTCTTTGGATGTTGCTTATAGCAAGGGGGCCGGCATGTTTAGGCCTCCGCCTAAATAGATTAGAAAGAGGACACCCTAATGTTTAACATTGCGTTAACATTGCCGCTGTTAACTTTCCCCACGCTTTCTATTTGTTTCCGTTATTGGAATAGTACTACTTGAAAACATCTTGGCAGGCTACCGCCATTATAATAAAAAACTGTTCACTTACTTCTTTTGCGAGCATCCAGAGAAGAGGACGTGATCCAGCCACCATACTACAGCGTATTCAAAGGTAATCTACAAAAGCAATTTGTATATATATATATATCCACAGCACATTTTTATATGAATAAATCCACATATTTAAATTAATCAAAATACTAATACCACTTTCTGTTCTTCTTTTGCGGAAAACAAATCGGCACAACTGGTTCCAATCGTTGTGGCGATTATCACTCAGATTATTAGCCGTAAAATTTGTTGTGCTTATTATATTAGCATCTCAATTAAAAGTCATTATTCTTCTCTGTGCCACCATGATCACTTTTTTCTGCTATATAAAGCAACTTAGATATATTTTAACATAATGTTTTAGTAAAAAATACCTTTACAAAACTCTTCCTCGGTAGCGTTTATTTTCGTTTACTTTTACAGTTGGTATTTCTCCCCATCTTCGAAAAAATAGTCGATAAAACTAAGTTGGACACCGAAATGCTATCGGTTTAATCTGAGATTGTTTTGTAGTTACAGATTAACGAGGATCGAATTTTGTATGGCTAATCTCTATTTCTCATTACAGACTAGGGAAGCTCGAAAATGAGGATAATCTACTTATATGTAAACCTAGTATAAGTGTGAATTGTTGACTCATTTTATCTATTTTACTTGTAATTGAATTTCTAAATTAAAGCTATGTATGTACAATGTACATATATCTATTTTTGGCAGTTATATTATAATTTTGGTCACGATTTTTTTCTAACAGTAGGTGTTACGGTAGAGAAAATATGTGAAATAAAACCCGTTTATCCGGGTTTTTGTCAATTTGGAAATAGGGAACCGGTTTTTTACAATTGCCTTTTTTCGAATAACTCGTTAGCCGGGTTTCGAAAAAAGGCGTAAAATCGAATACCCTAGTAAATTTTATAAGTCAAATCAGCGAATGCGTATTTAATACAGTTGTATTACTTCATTTGCGTATCTTCGTAATCCATGTGCTTTTAAAGATATCTTCTGCATACTCAAAAAACCTACTAAACATGATTATTTTTGCTTATTTTTCAGCAACGGAACTTAACGAAACAATAGTGAATGGCCAATGGACAAATACATCCTGCAGCAGGATGCTGACAAGACAATCGCAGTTTCAGTACAAATCACATCGCATCGCATCACAAGGGGTCATCACAATGGTTATCTTTACGAGACTTCCGCCTCTATGTGCACACAAATACAAATTATTTATTCACTTTTCAAACTTATTCCAACTCTTCAGTTCATTTGATATTGGATCACTAGTCTTATTGTATGGAAAGTAGTGTATATGCTATATGCATCTGTATTTATTAAAAGTAAAGCAAAACTAAAAGAAAAAAATACAATAAGAATATCTGCATATACTCATCATTTCAAGCTGTTTGGTTGAATGACACTGCCTTCAGGTTTAAATGAAACGAAAAAATGAGACGAATTGATTCGTTACAAATCGTGGCTTTAGTATTCGGTACGGTGACTCCTATTACTAAATTGAATGCAGCTGACCTGGCGCTGTACGCTCCTGCGAATTGGTCACACATTTTAGTTTTAAATGTGATTTCATTGACCTTCCACTTATTTCTAGTCATTTAATTTAGATGTGAATTTTCTAATTGGTTGAACATTTCCGGTATACTGTTCGAAATATAGAATTTACTAATTTCACACTATTTAAATTTACTAACAGATTTATGTATGTATTTTGCAAGGACCCCAGCCAAGAGAGAAACGTAAATTTTGCCTACAGTGCAGTCTAGTACAATTTTCCGTATCCGGAAACGAATAGAAAACGACTACATCTATCATTTATTTTCGTATCCGGAAAACGTTCGAAATTATTTATTTGAAAGCAATAGTTGTACATATTTTATTTGTTCATGCTAAACATTCGAAAGCATGCATGCGTAGTTGGCGGTGGCTGAGCGTGTAGAGGATCGTGCCACTATTTGTTAGCTTCCAGAAGGTGCCGGGTTCGAATTCCATCAGGCGCTTCCTTAATTTTATTTTTTTGAATCATGAAAAAATATCTGTGAAGTGCAGAACGAAAGCGTATTGAATGAAAAATTCAGTCACACAAATTTCAGTAAAAAAAGCCAAAATAGTATTCGTTTCACAAACAATATTCGGTACATGCCTGTACATAGTACATACTTACGTATCTGCCGCACACTTTAGTGGGAAAACGGATCGTCAAAGTGTCCGGAAATGGAATCGGCAAACGGACAAAAATCCGCACGTGATCTTTTTTCCTTTTTCGGATCGATTTTCGGATTTTTTGCCGGCTGGGACTGTCTGCAAAGAAGTTTTCGTTGGCTGATGTGCGTATCATAGTATAAAACCTTTAATTTGACAACATTTTTGATTGGGGGTCTCGCCTATTCGAAAAGTTATATCTGTTTAGCAATCTAATTATACGTATAAAATGCAAGCTTGAAATACAATACCGGCGAACGGCAAACTTCGCCGAATTGGGCGATGCTGTCGGTCACCGTTCGCCCAACTATTTCGCCTACTTAAACAGAATTAGAGCGGTAGCGAACTTTGAAACTTTGAAAGCACAAAACAAATACGGCCACCTTTGGCACGCACAGCTGTCATCGCCCAGCAGAGCGATAGAAATAAATCTATCGCCATGAAACGCCGCCAAGCGAACTTCGCATTTCGCTTTGGCTGTGTTCAATTTCATATGCTTGCGGGTGTTCTAATTTTGACAGCGCGAATTTCGCTGTGGTGAGTTCACCGTTCGCCGGCATTGTATTTCAGCTAGCAAAGGTATTTTTGTGAAGGTCATCACATCTGCACCGTTCTTTCGAATTTCAAAAATGAGATCAAATTAAAGAGCTCGGCCTGTAGTTGTGGAAAAACGCTTTGTTTTATTTTATCATTATCATTATCGGATTATTGTTTGTCCAAACATAGAAAACCTACATAGAATATGCAAAACTAGTCTAGACATCAACCTCATTGGTAGATATTATAGCAAAGAACATAGGACTAGTCTTGACATCTACCTCACCGGAAGTAGTGAAATATTTAATAATTTAATTATTATTACTGCGCCTAAAAATATGCACAACGCTGCAGCGGAACTGGTCGACACCCCATTTCTTTAAATGAAATGTGTCCTTATGTATATATACATACATGTACTATGTTAAAAGAGAAAATAAATAAAGTCAGTTCGATAAAATGCAGCATATATTAGAATATCGTTGAATTATTTTAATATCTATTGCAATTTTATACATACAAGACTAAAAAGTAGAAAATAAATAAAATAAAAACTTTTTAATTTCTATAAATGGACCAAAAAGTGAATAATAATATTACGCAGTCCCACAGAATTTGATTGATAACTTTCCATTTTAGAATTTAGCAAAAGTCATTGAGTCATTGTTCACGCTTGCCTGGTTATCAGGTTATGTGGTTATATTTTTTTATTCAGTTTACAACAATAAAATACACTACTCCATAATAATTTTTGACCAGATAACCTGATAACTAGGCAAGTGTGAACAGCCTCATTATAAACAATTTATGATATTGAAAATCAAACACGTGATAATAGTCAAACTACATAATGTAGACCTAAAATTTCTACAGCAGAAGTAAACAATTTCAGATCGATTTTAAGCGACACATACATACATATATTAATTTTCATATTAATTCAAGTCTGTTACATGCGACCCACGTTTTTCATTTTCCATCTCATAAATTGTTTATGACTTTTGCTAAAAGTCTAAAATCAACAGTTAGCAAAACAATTTTTATGGGACTGCGAAATATTATTTTATACTTTTTAGTCCATTTATAGAAACGTGGTGGATTAAAAAGTTTTTTATCTTATTTATTTCTTAACTTTCTTAACTTTGACCTTCGCTAATTTCAAAAATGTATATATAAGTTGCCAAACATGTGGCATTTATCTAAAAGTACATTTAATTTCGAATAAAATAAGCAATAACCGCCTAAGTCGACTTAAGAAGGAATGGAGTTATATACGCTATCGTATTTTTCAACCCCTATTCCATACGTACGTCAAATCCCGATCTCGCTAACTAGGCTACTCAAAAAGTTATAGGCGAAAATATTTTGGTTTCCCCATGAGGCTTACATTACAAACCAAATATTTAAAACGTTTTTTTCTCGAATTCTGGTTTTGCGACTTAGGCGGTTATTGTTTATGAGCACGGATTTACACCTCACGTAATGCAATTTTGCATGAAAATTGTCTAAGTTAAGCAACTAAGGCAGTGTTTGCATTATTCAACTTTGCGTTCAACAATTGCGTTCAACTCAACGCAGGGTTGCACGAAAAAAAAGTTGAATGGCTAAATATTGGCTGGCGACCAACTTTGTTGAAAGCGATTAGTTGAAAGGCCATTCAACCAAAAGTTGAATGCAAAGTTGAACAATGCAAACACCTTTTTATGGCGAATATTTTGATATTTTTTCATATTTTGATATTTTTAGCCATTCAACTTTTTTTTCGTGCAACCCTGCGCTGAGTTGAACGCAAATGTTGAACGCAAAGTTGAACAATGCAAACACACTTTAAGTACAAATGAGGCCTCGAATTTATATATCGATTTTTTAATCTATTCGAATCGAAATAAAAATAATCGGCGCAGGAAGAAGTCGTCAAAAAATAAATCGATCTCCAAGATCGATTCATATAATTTGCCAGAAAACGCCTTTTATTTAATGTTCTTAAAGAAACAAAATACAGCCTTCTGACGTACAGGGAAATTACAAACATTATTGTAAGTGTATTTTAAAACATACATTGCTATAACGGTTTCAATATCCAGATTTATCCAAAAGCTATCAGGTAGCTAAGAGTGCGTAAGTACCTAAAAAAACTGTCAACGTTTTTCTATATTAAGACAACTTAGGAAAGTGGAAAAATTTGTTTCGAATTTTTTGTATCACAAAATAGGAAGAATGTTGTTTTATTTTAAAATTAACCGCTATTTTAAATAATATATTATACATAAATACACTAGCCTACACTACAGATTTTTAAACTTTTTTGTTTCCATATTTAACAATTTGTTATTAGGCCAAAGAATAGCAAACAACAATTTTTTTTTGTGGAAAAATTTGTTTCGAATTTTTTTTATCACTAAATAGAAAAAATGTTGTTTTATTTCAAAATTAACAGCTATTTTAAATAATGTATTATACATAAATACACTAGCCTACACTACAGATTTTTAAACTTTTTTGTTTCCATATTTAACAATTTGTTATTAGGCCACAAAATAGCAAACAACGATTTTTTTTTGTGTTCGCCAACTCCATAATTACTCTTTTTAGATTTTTAGGAAAAATTTGAGTATGCAGTTTTGTAGCGCATTTTCTTCCATACAAAGTACGCTCGACAAAATGTTCATACTAAAATTGAATGGACTAAAAAACTCCATACCCGAAATATTTCTAGAAAATATTAACTAATACACTGCCGCTCATTTATATGCTTTGATTGTTTTCAATATCATTTGCTCCAATTTGGGGATCGGATCGAAACTAAAAAATCTACAGAAAATCTAATCGGAAGTGCTCGATTAATTTATCTTCGATTTAATCGATTTAAAAGCAGCAGTTCTAGTATGTGATGTACAGGTTTTTTGAGCACTGGGGCTAAGAAATTAATAAATACCGCCCACTTATAATATATCGAGCCCTATTTTCGATGTTATCGTAAGCGACAAAAGGCACATTTTAAAGAAGTTTTTTTATTTCATCTTTAAACGGTGCAAGGTTTTATTTGGGTTCAAATTACGGTTGCCAACTTTTGCATTCTTGAAACCAACACGAAGAATAAGCCTGTCCCGCAGGTGCCCAATTAGTGCTTATTTGGTTGGTTATCGGGCTGTTAAGAGCCACTTTGAGCGAATAATATTTGCTTCTTACTTGCCCGAAGTCGGCCGCACTATTTTTCCAGGCGAGTTGTAAAAACTGTCAAACTGCCAGAAGAAGAGGAAAAAATTTACACATTCAAATTTTAGTTAATAACGATATTGTGTTTGCTGCCAAATCGTAAATTTATAGTTTTGTGCGATTTGACGTTTAGAGCCTTTCCGTAACTCTCTTGGCCATAATTTAGCACTTACGCTCATTTTCCCAAGACTAGCCTGAAAATGGTATAAAAAAACCTAATATTAGAAAAGAGTGTAGGTAAAATTTTATACACATTAGGGGTGTTCTCGTTGCACGTAGCACGGATGCACGGATTGCATAACCTGAAAACACACAACAAAATACATGGGAA